TATCGGGAGAAAGTGATACCAGAGGGGACGAAAATCCGTCAGAGGAATCCGACAAAGACGAAGAAGAGTCCGAAGACGAATCATGAGTAGCAAGGCTATACAGAAGGCGCGGGTCGTATAGCTTTTGCATCTGCTTTCTCCATTTCTTAAGATAGCTCTTGGAGAGCTTAAGAGGCGGTGTGTCGTGCGGTAACGCATGCCTCTTGTTTTTGGGGCAAGAATGTCGAGCCCCATGGGGGGAGACCTTCGGTCCCGATTGTCTCGGAGACCGGGAATCTCCAGCAGATGGTACCAAATGCTTGGTCTTCGCTTTCTTCTTTCTAGGAGACGAAGGTAACAACAGTGTAGGTGGAAATGGAACCTGCGGAGAAGGAGAAGATGGTGGGGAGGAACCCTGGGAAGGGATTTCAATAGGAGACTGTGGAGTCAGCACCAGCAACGATGGAGACGTTGGTGGCACTAGAATAGGAGTGGCCCGTGGAGGTGAGGGCGGAGGCGGAGGGGGTGGCGAGGCCAGAACCTCGGCTTTCGATGGTTTGGACGGCGGTTTAGCCTTGGCTTTGCCTTTAGAAGCTTTAGCCTTCCCCTTGGATTTTAAGTCCAGTAAAGGATCGGGGTCCATGGGTGAAGCAGTTGCCGCCATATCTGGAGGTCGCAACGATTTCTCCCAAAGAGCTGCGCGTAGGCACTGTTCTCTAAGTCTCAACCCCTGCTTGGTAAAACTTTCGCAATGTCGACATGATTGAGGAACGTGCCTCTCCAAGGCAAAATAAACACAAACGGTGACCGTCGGTGGAAGGGATTTTCTTCCCAGGCCGCACAGCTTTTAAAAGTGACCTTGGGGGATCGAGGGGCCTTGGAGGCCATACAAAAAAAGGCGCGAAAAGGATCTGGGGGGAATGGAGGGAAGAGAAAAAAGGCAAACAGAGTCCAAAGAAAAACACCTCCCCTCAAAAAACAAGTATTGTACTTCCCTGAAGTACTGGTGTGAAGACGGAGCCAAACGAAGAAAAATCTTCAAATAAATTCCACAAATTCACGGAGCTCTAGCTAGGAGACCTAACTGCAGCAGCGGAAAAAATGGAACTGAGGTAACTGTTAGGGCGGGCGGACCATGAGGTCCTGGGAGGGCGGAGCCAAAAGTGTTACTTTAAGCTCTAGAATATTCCGAGACCATCTCCACACGCGCAGATTAACCCATTAGTGTGATTTCACAGAGGCCACGAAGAAGAACTTGGTAGTTTGATAATTTTTATTCCCATTTTACTCCACTAAGGAATGTCTGGAAGGTTCTGCAAAATATAACCACAGTAGGAGAAATGGCTGTATTGTGACAGTCATCCTTCTTACGCTTAGTGATACCATGTTCCTTGATTCCATGGTGCAATGGTTCAGATCATGTGTACATTTTGCATTGAAGAAACTGAGAATGGCATCTGGAAGGAACTCTAAACTTTCTGCCTTGGTAAGCTTTAACTCTAATGTGACCTTGGTGTCTTCTCAGTGTTTCCCCCCCCCCCAAAAAAAAGCTTGGGGTCTTAATTGAATAGTCACCAAAGTAACTGATGAAAGAGTTCTGGTATAGATGCAGATATTTCTTTATTGATAGCTGTTACTGTGTTAGGGTCAGTGGACATGTCAACCATAAAAAGCTAGATATTGGGGACAGAACAACAAGGCACCCGCCATTTTTATTCCTATTTGTGAACTTCTACAGGCTTTTTTCGTACTTTAATTGAGAACAACACTCTTAACTAGGTTAAACTACAGAAAGGCTGTTCTTAAGAAAGAGAAGAGTTCAAGTACTCTGTTGCCAGTAAAAGGTGGGGGGAAACAGAGGAAACACCAGAATTTACTCATTTTTAAATTCTCTTTGCATGATCTTTCACCTACACACCCTTTCCTTTTTCAGAAGGAAGGATGTGTAGCAACACATTGTCTTTACAGAACATAATAAGATACCTTCTTGTTCTATTTTTGTGGGAAATAGTACTTCTTAGTCCCAAATTATCTTTTTATATTTTGCTTGTGATGGAAGACTTTGAGTTGTATGTTCTAGGGTCTCTTTAGGGATTACAAAGAGTGGGGTATGATACACTCCGTAGGCTTATTACTTCTGTGCATCTCTTCCTACCAGATGTAACAATCTGAACCTCACTGTGATACTCATCAAGCTCACCTTTGGCCTTATAACTTGAGGGCAGTGCTATGGAACAAATACAGATCTTGTGCTTGTGCAGATCTCGTTTGCATTTACTTTTAGCTTTGCAAAATGTAACTTGATGTGAAAGAACAATATCAGCTACATTTAAGGAAGGGAGGTCAGGCAGGCCCCATCTTTGCTGTTCCTCCACAAGCAGGCAAAGCCCTTTCTCTTCAAGCAAGCTTTCCTTAATGACTGGGTTCTTAAATGAATTGTTGTGCCTTAGTGCTTTGAATGTGTTTTGATGTTGCTGCTTTCTACCATCTTTTAGTGTGATATTTGTTTGATCTTGTTTAGTATGTGTATATTTACTGTTCTTAGTTTTAGATATTATCTCTTAATAATTTATGCCGCTTTGGATTCTTCTTAAGGAGAAAAGAAGGGTACAAATATTTTAAATCTAAATAAATAGATAGATAGATAGATAGATAGATAGATAGATAGATAGATAGATAGATAGATAGATAGATAGATAGATAGATAGATAGATAGATAGATAGATAGATAATTCTGTCATTGTCAGTCTTCAATTCATTTTTCAAGTTTCAGTGAAAAGAGTCCTAGCTATAGTTCAGATATATAATAGTGTTTCTTGCTTGCTGGTGTGCATATTTTGACATAATTAAATGAATGTAACATAAGCTAGAAATGAATAGATTGTTACTAACACTTCATTAATTACTCCAATTTTTACCACATCATAAATTACTTCAACATTTTCGGCGTCAAATATGACAGTGTGGATATTTCTGAGTGTGCTGTGAGGGTATATTGCTTTGTTTATGGGTTCATGTTTGCAGCTGCTATAAATATTTGAATGCGTGGAATAATGTAATATTACATAGTGTGAATGTAGAACTGCTGTATGCAGAAGACATGACAGAAGTAATTGCATAGGGAGTAAAAATGTGCTTTACTGGGTTCTGAAGGCCAAGAATCCCCAAACCCAGGCTGGACCCTCATTACCATAATGGGAAGAAATTGAGACTAAATTGTAAATCATGATGACAAATATTTATGAACATTTATTTCCCTATATCTATATACTGATTATTCAGTTCTTCTAATGTTATCATTTCCGTACTTCAAAAATAAGGGACAAGGCTTTTCTGAAGCCTGGTTCAGTTGAGTATGTAAGAAGAGTAAATAAAGAAAGAAATTGAAGTATCAACAAGCTAATATATTTAGCATAGCCAAATAAAAAGTTACAAAATAATCAGCAAGTTTATAGGACTTGTTTTCAGACTACATGAAATGTTAAACAAAAATTTAAACAAAAATAGATTTGGGTATATAATGGAACAGATTTGTTATCATATGTAGAAAACATAATTATAGAATCAAAACAATTTCAAATACCTCATTAGGTGATATAGATAGGATGGGATGTATTATATATGTATATCAGAGGAGACCATTTTCCATGAAGACACTCCAAAACTGGACTCTGGATCCTTGAGAGATAAAGAATGTTTCTGTGTTTGGAGATAGATAGATAGATAGATAGATAGATAGATAGATAGATAGATAGATAGATAGATAGATAGATAGATAGATAGATAGATAGATGAGAAAAGGAGGGAAGAGAGGAGATTCTTAAATCTTTCATTCGGAACATGGATTGATCTTCTGAAAGAGTTATCACACTGTCCCTATATTTTGTAAAATACAGACATTGACTCACTTCTGGTGTTCAAGAAAGTGTTAATTGTGGTGGCAGTATTAATATGCCTTGTTAGCGGTAGATTTTTGTGTGTGTGGATCTTGGATTGGGTGTCAGATTGCAGGAGTTTTTAGCTTATTTTTTCTTCAACCCATCTGGTGTCTAACCTGAGATAGTTGATCCTGTCATGACCAACTGTGTAAAGCCTGAGTCTGTAGTACAGAGTGCAGGAAATAACAAGCCAACCACAGAGGGGAGCGGAAATGAATCAGAGCCATTTCTCAAGCAGCCTGATAGTGTTGCAGAACAAGAGACAGGAGACACATTGTGGGGCCCTGCTGGCAGAGAAAGGAGGTATTGATATACGTATCTCCTTTTTCTGAAGGCTGAAATGTCTTAGCAGGCATGAGAGTGAACCTGTCTATCCATATCTGGGATGGTCAAATGAAAGGAGCAGGTTAAATAGCTGTAAAGGTGCAAGCAGAATGAGACTGTGCCTGATTAAAGGGGATAGGTGGGTGGATGGGTGGGTGGGTGAGATTGGTCTGCATTTTTAAATGAACTAAGCTACTAAGCACTTCCCAGGCTAATAAGCAGATTTGAACAGTTCTAGATTTTACACTACTGTATTCTGATTTTTACAATGCAGTTCTTGTTCTTGGTTCAGAAAGAGGTGCTGAAAACAACAGGGATTTGAGTACAAAATGCATATGTTTGGGGAAATTGCATGTCAAAACTGCAAATCTGCAGATATTTTCAAAATAAAAATTGTAGTGTAATTAGACAAATATAGTTCTAAATGCATGCAACACTGGCATAGACTGGAAATAGACTGATTTGTCTGTCCCTGTGCTGGGTATTTCAGCAACAGTTTTACTAGAAGCAGAAGAGGGAAGTAGCTACACAAATTGAGAAAAGGGATGGGCTTCTCTTTTGTGGTGGAGGGTATAGAAAGCGGGGTTTGGAATATGCCATAGAAAGACAAATCAGCCAACTTTATAAGAGTAAATAAGTCATTTGTTAAGAAATTGAATGTGTATAAGAATACCAAGATGACCCAGACTCATGGGCTTTATACCTGAAGACTAGAAAGCATGTTCTTGTCTAAAATGCTACATTCTCTTCTTTTTCCAGGTATCAGGAGGGGCAATTGTAAGCCATACTGACGAAGAAGGATTGGCTGGTCCAAAGGAGAGAAACTACAGACTTGTGTGAGAGAGAACATAGAGCTATGTTCCAAGCCAAGGGTCCAGCTGGTACAACCTCTACTAATGTATGTACTGAAATCAGGATTTCAGATTAAAGAGTTTTTTCTGCTTCTTTAGAAGAGTTAGGAAGTGCCCCAGTTCCTTAAAATGTATCACTTTCATAGGGTTGCCATATTAGTCAGTTGCAGCAATAGAAGAATCTTGTAGCTTTATAAAAACAAAATATATTTGTGGCAGCATCAGTTTTCATGGTTCACTTCAACAGATGCATGGGATAGTATCTCTAGTTGGCAGAATATCCATAGATGAGTGGAGGACAAAGTGGGGTCAAATGGCCATCAAATGCAAAAAGTTCAGCCTGGGACAATCAAGTGAAGCTTTAATGTCTCCAGAATGAGCAGTCATAATTAGTAATGAATGAATTAGTAATATGCAATGACACATTCTAGCATTTGTCATTCTAGCATCAAATGTAGCATTCATAGTGAAACAGAAAACTCTGTCTCTAAGCAAGTCTCGGCAGAAAAAGTCAACTGCTTGATAAGTGTTAATTCTCTAGCCATTTTTAGGTATGAAGAGAAAAACATGGGCGCAGTTTAGAGTTAATTTTGCCCAGAAAAGACCTGCTGAAATCAGTATGATTTAAGGCAAACATATCAATGAGCCTGCTGTAAGGTTTGACCCAGTTCCTTCCTGCCCCGTGTCATCATTGCTAGGTTTATTGTGCGATCATCAAAGATCGTTGTGAATTGTTATTGTATCAGATTTTCATTTATGTGTTGGCCGTTTTCAGAAGATGCTAATGTGTTTAGAATGCATAGTTGCATCTGCTTGTCTTCTTACGGTTCCCTGACTTTCATTCAGTTAATCCTTCTGAAAAGTTGCTGGTAGTGACAGAGTTCCCTCTAGCCTAAAAAAAAAGTGTTTGTGTATGAGCATGTGTGTATCTATATATACCTACCCACCCAGCTGTCTTCAAGCTCTGTGTCAGTGTTTAGGTCAGTTAAATGAGATTTGCATAGTGTAGACGTGCCTTAGCATTTACAAGAATTGTTCTTTTTATGGGGTTCCTGAGAAGTTGAGGACTGTGCGAAGGACTACATTGACTAAAGCTTTAGCCAGGAAGTTACAAGAGGGACCTAAATAAGAAATTCTAGAATAAAGTGCCAGTACCCAAAACTCACAATTAATTATCCAGCTTAAGTCTTCCAACTCTGCCAACTCCCCATTGTTCATGAAGGTACTTTGTGACATAGTACTAGAGATGGAGGTATTTGTATACGAATAACCCCGCACAGCTGGACGTAATGAGGGTGCACTCATGTAGCCACTGCTGCTGCCAGCTCCACTCTCCCTTCTAGTCGCTCCAGAGCTCCTGGTCAGCTATCCACTCATCAGCTTGGCAGGGAGGCTCATCTTCCCTCCTTCTGCCAGGAGTGGATAGTTGAACGCAAACTCTGGAGCAACTGGAAGGGACAGAGGAGCTGGTGGAAGCAGTGGACACGCGAGTGGATGGTCCGACCCCATGGAGCTGGACCCTCGTTACATCCAGCTGTGCAGGGGTATTTGTATATGAATATCCCCATATCTATATTGTACTCTTATTCTGTATGTTGAGGGTCTGGGAAGAAGGAGATCAAAGATTGTACTACATAAATATATTGTTTACATTGCAGTCTTGCACACATTTAATTGGATGTAAACCCCACTGAAAATGGGTGTACTTACTGTTGAGCAGACATGTGTAAGACTGCAGCCTTACTGAATATAATTAAATATATTATCAGGGAAATGTTAAAAGTCACAAACGGTATTAACTGGAATTATACCTGATTTTATTGCTCATTTGCAAGTAATGTATTTGAAAGAATTGTGTTCCTGTAGGCTTGGTCAAATGTATTATTCCACTAGATATGCAGCAAGGCAGTTTGCCACCAAATATGAACATCTGCTCTTATTCCTCTTCTCCGTTCCTTCCTTTTCTCCATTTAGGAGTCAAAGAGCAACTCAGGGGCATCGACTGTGCAGAGGTCCAAGGTAATTGTTACCTCATTGCTTGCACTTTGTCATATGACTATTTTTTTAAAAAAAGTGAGACAGTAAACTAAATATATTTTTAACCTTGGGATATTCAGTGTCTTAAAACTATCATTTTTAGCCTCCCCCCTGCCCTGAAGGGTACAAACAAACAAGGAATTTTTGAGATCAGAGGAAAAGCATTGCAAAGAAAAATTCCAGTATGAAAATGCTCTTCCAAATATGCAACCACACTTGGGATATTGTGCACAGTTCTGATCTCCCTATCTCAAAACTAGTACAATGGGAGAGAATGCAGAGAACATCAGCCACGATGATATGTCTTGGAGCACTTTTTCTCCAAGCAAAAGCTCAAGTGTAGGCGTTGCAGTTTAGAAAGATATAGAGGCTGATAGAAGTATGAATTGTGTAAAGGAAGCAGGTAAGAGGTTTTTCTTTTGCACCATGCTGCTAGAACTCAAGGGGGACATCCAGTGAAGATTCAAGATGAACCAAAGAAAACGCTGTCAAGGAATCCTGACCCAGTTCGCGTTAGAAACACTTCTTCATGCAATTTTGACAGCATGAATAGACTGGGATAGATCTGTCAGTGGCTGCTCCATGTGAATTTGTCTAATTAGTTAGGATAGCTATATGGAACCTCCATGTTCAGAGATCAACAGTTGGGTGGGGAGAAGGGGCAGTGACTTCAGAGCTTGGAAATGTTACCTTTTTTGGATTATAATGCCTAGAATATCAACAGGGATTTCATGAGTTGTAGATCAGCTTCTCCAAACTCTGTTTCAAGTGCTGCTTGTGGGTTAATGGCTGTTTGCTGTGGGAAGCAGGATCCTTGGCTACAATGGACGTTATTATGCTCTTACTGGGCTTTTAAATCTTGTTTTGTCTACTTGTAAACAACTCATAGTTTTGAAATAAATTAACCAATGTGGTGGTAGTTATACTTTTTGTACATTAGTGTTCTAAGGAAATCACTCCACCATTTTGTTCACCTTCCCCCATAAAGGATTCTGAGGTTCTGCAATCATGTTTGTTTTTTTAACCTCAGAATTAGCGCTCTATCCCATTTGTAGAAAACAAATTCTTCATTGGACTCAGCATTCTTGTACTTTAGTAGGTCAGTTCCAAAGCTTTTGAACTTGCATTAAAGCAAGTATAGAAGGGGATTGTTTTATTGATCATATGATGCTCTAATGCAGTTTTCAGTACATAAACTGCTTTACAGTTCTTACCTCAGTTGCTGACTTGGCCTAATCTTTAAAGCTTTTTATAGTTCTTGTTGAAGTAAATGGCTTTTTAGCTTTAGGTCATATCGCTGTATCCTGTTGTTTTGTAACTTTGTTTATAGATCTTCAAAGAACAGATGTCATATGCATGTGGCAGTAACAACAGAAAAATAATTCAGCTCCAGGCACAAACTGCAAGTCATGCAGACTTCTGTGACTCTTTCTTCCATTTTCTTTTTAAAACTCAGCTTGGGGAATGAGGGTACATGAGAAGAAGCTGCTCAAGCTTTCTCCTTCTACTCCCTCTTTTGAGGTAATAATCATTCTCTGCATCAGTCAGCCTTGGCGAGAGATGAAATACATGAAAGCATTTTACATATGTTTTGATTTTTTTTTTAAAAAAATTAACAATCACCATTAAAGGTTAGGATTGAAATGGTGCTGCATAGGGAGGAGAGATTTCGCCTGTCTTTTCTGCCATCCAAAAAATCTAGTTGACCCAGGAAAGAAGCTATCATGGGCCACAACCTCCCTTGGGTTTAAAGCAAACCTCTCTCTCTTCCTTGGCAGAAAATAATCGCCTAACTCCATTAACATGTGGCTTGGGTTTCAAATCCCATATGAAAAATGGTGGTAATAGAGAGACATATGGAAAGAGAAGAAAACTGTAAAATGCTGTGATCATAAATTAGTCTTTCTCCAAATTCTTTCCTCTTGCCACCCTTCCATTGTCTCTAGTAACACTGCCTAACTATCTAAATCAGAAATATTGTCCCTTTTGGGTTGTGTTCTGGAAGGGGTTGATATCTTTTTCTGATGTGAAAAAGAAGGAAAAATATTAAATTTTCCTTATTTTGAAGGAAGGGCTAGGATGTTTTTTTAAAAAATTAATCCCTCCCACAAGAGTCTCCAGTTTTTTGTGAAGAACTTTTCCTCCATTAGCTGCTTGTTGCTCCCCCACCCCCACCCCCATTTTTCTAAACACTGTATACTGTATCCCACAGTGTCAAGAGCCTTGTACTCATCCCTCTATGTTGCTTTTAATAATGAGCATTCACTGAATGAATCAAGAGTTCTCTTAGACTGGGCAGCATTGTATAACCATAGGGTACATACAATTGGGGATAAAAGGCAGGAAAAACCTATTAGATGATAACTCCCCATAAAGTGGCTTTGCTTTTTGTCCTTTTTAAGAATAAAGGCACTGCTATAGCTGTAACGTTGTCCTGTTCCCTTTGTCTCCTCCTCGTTTTGAGTGGCTTAGCTGTTGTAGGATACACTTGCCTGTGGTTTGTGCCAGCACTGCATTGCTTGATGCAGCATGCTTGTTTCCATGCCTTCACCCACATTGTCTTTTGCTCCCATCTTTCAGTCATTCAGCCTGAAGGCCCAGGTGAAGGAAACATGCAGCGCTTGCCAGAAAACCGTCTACCCCATGGAGCGCCTGGTGGCTGATAAATTTGTCTTCCATAACTCCTGCTTTTGCTGCAAGCACTGCCGCACCAAGCTAAGGTGAGAAAAGCAAGGGGAAGAAAGCTTTTTCTAGTGGGAAAAGAGAAAGGAGATACGAGATGGGCTACCTGTTTCCCCATAAGTCAAGGGAGTACAAAATTGGGAGGACTGAAGTCCAGATTTTGACCCAGTGCCCACTATAGAGGTCACATCAGGCCTGGAATGGGCAAAAAAAATGGCCACACATTGGTGGAGGGGTGCTAAAAATACCCACCCACTTATAAGATTCATTTTTTAAATTTGAGGGAGCTCTGCAACACCCCTCCCATGCAAAATGTGTTCCTTCTGGAGCACTAGCAAACCTGTTGACTGCTTGAGTGAAGTCTTTTGCCCCCGTGATCACGGGTGGTTTGGGGGGCTTCAAAAACTGTCTGAAGCACACCTGTGGGCATCACTATGGCCAACTCCTGCCCTACATATTCTGTTCATACACTTTACTCTGACCTCAGTTGGAGCTGTGCCTTCCATCCCAGTAGCCCAAGAAAGAACTGGAAACACACTCAACAGTCCAAAGTGCAGGTTCAGTGAGAAACATATCTCATGTTCTTCACATTTTGCATTATATGCTTGGTGCTACAGAAAGGTCTTGTTTCACTGTGAAATTGAGATAGGGTGAGAGGCGGTTCCCTTACAGTGGCAGCTGCCCCATATTCTGAGTATAGATCGGAAAAGAGAGAAGAAATTGGTCTCAATACATAGAATCACACATTTTCCCACAGTTTTGTGAATTTGTGAATATCAGCTTGCATGTAAAGGGCAGAGTGCACAACTTCTATTTCTGTTTTACTCTGTGGAGATCAGGAGATTAACTGTCAAATTTATGCAATCTGAGACACCTAAGAGTCCTGCAATTAAGGGCAAACACTGGAAGCCTGCATCTTATTAGGAGAGTCCTTTTATTTTAATAGACAATACCACACCTTGATGTAAGAATTCCCATAAATTCTTCTGAAACTCATTTGTTTTAACAAATGTGTGCAGCCCCCCCCCCTCACACACACACAGAGGAGCATTGATGATGAGAAATTCTCAGTGATTACGGCCCCCCCCCCTCTCTCTCACACACACAGAGGAACACTGATGATGAGAAATTCTCAGTGATTAACTTTCCCTGTGATGTGACCTTTTTATAATCGGTAAAAACAATGACAGGGCTAAAGTGGCCTTCTCATCTTCTTTCCATGAAAATAATGCTTTTTGTCATTTAATATAAAGTAAGTATTCAAAAATCTCACGCCTGCTATCCTAGTGTAAGTCTTATACATCCTCTGTAAGTTACTTTGATGTTGCAACTTAGGGAAGTGATGGTAGCAGTGGATGAGTGAGGCTCTGTTGTAATATGAGAAGGGAAGCAAGGTACAAACTGGAAACTTCCTATTTTTCATAGCTCAACCGCTGCTAGGCTACAATGACTGTCCTCTATTCTTAAAGATAGCTGGTCATTGTGTCTTTCCCAGTGTACCCTAACATATACGTCTTCCTTTTTCTCTTCCAGCCTGGGTAGTTACGCAGCTCTCCATGGGGAATTCTACTGCAAGCCACACTTCCAACAGCTATTCAAGAGCAAAGGCAACTATGATGAAGGTTTTGGACGCAAACAGCACAAGCAGCTCTGGCTGCAGAAAGAGGTGGAGAATGGGACGGATACAGCATGACCAGCTGCCCCCTGTGTCCCCACATTGAGAGCCTTGCTATGGAGATGAACTGAGCTGATGGAAAGCAGTGGTGCTTGCAAGGGATACTAGGAGCAGGGAAGGAGAGACAGGAGTACTTACAATGGGGTAGCAGTAGTATTTGGGCAGTGGGAAGATCCAAGAACTCCAGAAACTACCCAGATGGTATTGAGAATGGAGAATCTTAGAGAAATACCAGTGCCCTGTCAGGGACAGGGGATCATATTAGTTATGCAACAACAGATATTGCAAACGAGTAATGCAAAATATATGTTTGAACTTTACAAACAGACGATACTTCCAAGGTGATTCACCTTCTGGTACAAATCCTTCACTGGAAGTCCATTCTTATTGCACATATCCCACATGTGTTATGTACAAGCAGCTCTCCTCCCTCCCTCTTCCACTGCCAGTCCAGACACTGTTCCTGCTAAGAGTCTAGTTTGGGGAAACTGTTCAACTACTATTTTCCTTGCCCTTGAAACCTTAGGCTAAAGACACCTCTGTAGCAGACTTTGGATTAACTAGGCCTGTCCCATTTTTGGAGGCAGTAGAGCACACCTGTTCTAATTGGGAGTCCACTTCTTCAGGCCGTTGCATGACAGGGCGGGGAACATAGTGAAATCTCACCATTAATTTGTCCAGGATGCATATTTTCACTTCTTTCTAGCTAAAAACACCTGTGTTGTTTCCTGATTGCTTATGCACTTACGCTGCAGAAACTATATACATGGCCTGTAGGGACAAGTGTATGTGCTCTACTTTAGTCAGGCTAGACTAGCATGGGAAGAGAGAGCACATGCTTCTTTGTAATGGTCAGTGCCAGCAAGTTTCTGCTGTTGTAGTTAAATGGTATTAAGGATCATTCCTGGAAACGGGAATGCTGATATATATATATATATATTTTGGTACAAAAGAACCATGATGAATTGGGCCATGAAATCGGAATCCAACCTTGCACCCTGGTTTTCATCAGCTCTGTTCTGCCCATTCAGCCTTAAACCCTGGGGAAGCATTCAATGTCTCTCTTTTATATTTGCCTTTTTCAGTGGTATGTTGTAAGCTGAAGCACAGACTCGTGGTGTTGTGTCCAGAGTTGCGCTGTGCTCTCTTATTTTTGTAATATAAGTTTTCTGAGCCTTTCTTGCTTCATTGTATTTTATGAAAGGATTTGAAAAGAGCTGATGATATGATTACACATTGACCTCTGATACTGGAAAAAATTTCCTACTAAATATGAAATGCTGTTATGAATTTTCAGCAGGAGACCAAAACATTCAGCAGCTTATAAGTCTTAGGATGTATGGGAAAAAAAACAATGGTTGAAGGTTCTCTGCTGTAAGAAAACTAAACACAAGGCAGTTGGTACAAGGGCGATGACCCACCAAAGACAAAATGTTCAGCAGCTTACAAGGGACAAAAGGAAGGCACAAATCAGGCAGGTCAGGTGAATGACGTCTGAATTCTAGACTTGTGTGCAGAAAGAGGCATCAGCATCCATTTAATTAACCCATGTGCTCAGATAGTTGGACATTGCTACCATTAAACCAAGAATGCAAGTCCTATCCTTCATGTTCCCACGTTAGTATGATTAACCTATCAGCTTGCAACTAGGCTTTGAGAACGAGTATTTAAGGAAATCAGCTTTACCTGGAAGAGTTCAATCATACTTCATCACATCCTGCTGAGTTACCACTGCAGGTCTTGTAAGGTTAAGACACTCAAATAATTATCGCTTCCAGTTCACATAAAAGAACAGCATAGATCATGCTTAGCCCAGATGCTGGGAGTGTCTGTGGTAGAGAGAATCCACAATCATTTTCTACAGTGATAGATAGAGTGAGGGCCTTTCATTTGCAAATGAATATCCAAGCAGCAACTGATAATAGCATGGGCACTTACAAACAGTACTAACTGAAAATGATACTTTATTGTAAATAAAAAGGTATACATTGGCCTGGCTTTGCACTGCAAGCCCTGGTCAGTATAGATATTTATAAAAATTAGAAAGACACAAGTGGTTGAATGTCTTCTGCTACACTCCAGGTTCATTGCGATGGCACTTCATGCTACCACTGACAGTGAGACATAAATGATTGGTATAGTGTTTTCTCTCTCTTTACTTAGGAATAATAAAGTTCCAATTGAAGCCAGTGGTGCTTACTTCTGAATCAACATGTGTAGGACTGCACTGTAAATCTCAGTAACCAAGACATTTGAGTAAAGGCCATTTAGCTCTGTAGGATTACAGGGCTTGCTGGTTTAATTGACCAATCTCCACAACTTTATAGATAAGGAATTAAGACTATTTGGCTACCTAAATGTTGCTGGATATCAATTCCGATAATCATCAGTTACAGCTGGTAGGTATGAGTTGCAATCCGACATCATTTGGAGGACCACCATTCCATTTTAGAGACTACCATGCAATAATTCCAGAATGGTGCTAGCACAATGGGAGCTCTAATCTTTAAGAACATCTTAGAAGTACATGCTTCTGTGATCTGAGCAATGTCTTCTAATTTTAAGACTTGAGTGGAACCACAGGAGAATCTCAGACTAGTCAATAAACAGAAATAGCCTATCAAATACACCTCCATTTGGCTATATTTTTCTGAAGTATCTTCTTCTTTGAAGCTTTGTCTAGAAATCAACTGTAAAGACAAATCCCCACAACACACAAGCATCTAGTAGATCAGCTAGGGGGATAGTAACAGACAAGATGAAATGTCTTTAGTAGTGGTAGCTTTCTTCAAGGCAAACACTTCTCTAAGACTGTGCCAAGTCATTCCTTCCTGCAGCAACCAGGATTGAATACTGCAATTTAGCAGAAGGCTGGTGGGTGAACCTGGAGTGTACAGAATCGTCATGCCAAGCCCAAACACCATCATCTTTGTTTCCTCACATAAGGTTACAATTCCATCTGGTAACATTTGCAAATTATCTTTTGGCAATCTGTTTTCTCTCACCTACACTCTTAACAACTAAAACTTTTAAGGAATGCCAAACTGAAAGATGTGATTCTCAGGAGAGTATGAAGTATCTGTGAGAGCATTTGAACAGATTAAGAGGCTTTCTAAAGGGGAAAGATGTTACTTCTGACCGGAAGCAGTTGGATGGGAATAAAAAATCACAAGAGAAACTTGTCAAATCTTCCTAAAGCTAATCGTATACATGTCTATCTAGAAGGAATCGTATACATCTATCTAGAAGATCAATTTTTGAGTTGACATCTATAAAACTACAAGTGTTTCCCTACCCGATTCTCTCTGCATGTAATCTCTACACTTCAGGAGGGAAGTGGAGATGAGCAGATGCAAAGCAAATAGATTTCCCCCACTCCCATAACAGGATCTTTCTCAAGTCTCTTACCTTCTACAATTCAGAGGCCAGAGTCCTATCTATTTATACAACCGCATAAGGGTAATAATACTTATTCTCCTCCCACCTTCTGGAAGGTTCTTTGTGCACCTAGTTGTGCATTAGTTGTGAAAAGGGCACGTGAAATGGAAGCCCACAAGAGGAAGGGAACCACTGTGCAACTGCTCATATTTTTTGTTTTACTAATGGCTTTTTTTTGTTCTGGACCTTAGGAGCATGACAAATCATTTCAGAAAAATCTAGGCTGAAATTCAGAAGCCATGCAACAAAGGCTGTGCAAACTGGTATGTCAGTTTATCCAGAAATGGAGCCAAGGACTTCAAGACTACACTGGGTTTTAACTATGTATGAAGCATCCACAATAGTAAGTCTTCTAAGCAGGTCACACATACCTAGATGTATTATCCCAAGCATTCTACTATCTTAGTCTATTAAAATAAGGCAAATTTAAGTCCCACCCCCAAATGGAATAGTGAGAAAACAAAGAGGCATTGTGGCTTGACATCCTGTTATAAAACTATAAATTCTTTGCAAAACCAGCTGCTTTTCTTCCCTTTTAAAAAATTCACAAAGGTATCAATTTCCTCCCACCCCATCCCTTAACACTGCTATACATATCTATAAAAATCAACAATTATGATATAAATAAAAAGTATGAGGCATCACAATTTGCTTACATGATGTAAAAAGCTTAACGAAGAGGGTGATATAAATACATTTGTAAAAGTGCATCGCTGACCATACAAATAATACTTTGGCTTATTTCTTATGCTGAATCAGCGGCCCTGGGTCTAGGTACTGAACTGTTTCATACAAATGGAGAAGCCAACATATCACATTATTGGAGACATGTGAAGGAAGGAATTCTGATATTAGGAGCATCTACCTGACCATAGGATCTACAACAAGAAGGTAGACATGCTCTAGGATGGAAAGCCTTCAAACCATTTAAGGCTTACAAAGATTTTGGCATGTGAGGCAAGAGAAATCAAGGCTGCTTCTTTGGATCTCAGCTGAGTTGAAATGAGGACCAATCATACTGCTTCTGCCCCTATGTTCCCACCACAGAAAAACTTTGATCCATAAAGCAAAATTCCAGAAACATTAAGTGGATGATTACAATTGCTTTGCACCTTGGTACTGCCACAAGGCTGCAGACTGAGAGAATTCCTATGATTTCTGCACTTAATCCATGTGCTGACTTGCTCCATTTTAAAGACATTACTGCTGGTCTATTGGAATCGTTGCTTGGCTCTGCTGTTTATCAATGTCAGGAAAATAGGTTGTGAACTTGCTATTAAGCAACTACTTGCACCCTTATGAAAAGCTGACACATGACAGTAAACTTCAACTCTGCACAGAAGCAAAGATCAACAGCCTGAATTGTTCTCAAAGCATCAGTCATAAAGGTCCTTTGCTGGAACAGAGGTGGATAACATTCACCTGTTTTCAGAACATTTACTAGAAACATAATGAGTGACACAATGTTACTTGCACCATAACACTGGTTACACCCTTCATCTGTCTATTTAGTGAGATCTTGAAACATTAAGCATTATTGATGTATACGTGAGCTCCCTAAAGGTGGCAACACAGGACCTTCCAGGACCCTCATTTATCACACCTAGTTCTACATTCAATGCTTTATGAGATAAGACTAGTAGATTATCATGGCAGTGGAACATTTCAAAGACTAGGAACTGGGAACTGTGGTATTGCCCACAATTAAATTTCTTAGGTGTACTCCTTTATTTTCCCCACAAAATTTCTAGTAAGCAAATAATTCTGCATTTAAAATTAGCAGCTTTTTTCTTCTGTGCCACAAAACAGTAATACTAGACCACTACAGGAGAACTTTTATCCAAATCTCCTGTATTGCTCACATCATAAAGCTCCATTTAATATTTATTGAAGAGCACATGGACAGCTCAAAATTAGTAACTGCAGATGGGCAAAACATCCTTTCTTCTCCTATTTGGATGCCTAGAGAATTTGGCCTTCCTTGGTATGGAATGCAGGAAGTCCTCTGTGTAGGCTTAGCAGCAGAGTTTTGGCTTTCCCTGAATAAGATTTCAACAGCATCTTTGCTTAGAAAGACTGGCAACATTTAAGTATGGCATCAATCACTATTTTGTGAAGGGTGGGAAAAACTGTCTAATAGAGAGGTAAAGAAGATTCCAATTTCTCTCATGGTGAAAATCAGGGCATATTTGTAGGACAGCTACAAGTGTGACACAAAAGAAAGCCTTTTCATCAGCTTCAAACAGTTATCTATGGGGCAACACATGCACATCAGACATTTTTTACAATCATCTTCTCGATCCTGAGTGCATGTGCTAAAACAAGCCATAAAAACAGCACATTCTGTGATCTGAATAAGTTATGCAACTACAGTAAAGTAAAATTCCATATAGACTCTTGGTCTGATAATCTGTTCAGCTATTGTTATCTGGGGAAAACATTTACCCTAACTGCAGAGCTTTTTCTGCTCAGCACCCTGTGGCTTCTAGGAAATAACAATGCTTTATTTTCAGCATTTATCTATAGCTATAGCTTGTTTTTCTTCTGATTTTTTTAAAGTTTAAAAATACTGAGTTCTAAGATGATTTTTCTGCCAGATACTAAATTCTGTGTTAGCACACAGTTATTGCATAGACAGAGAATGCACAGTACTGAATTGCTTCTTCAGATAGCCCTGTCAAAACAATGCTTGATTCCCTCATTTAAATTCCAGGAGCCTTTGTCCTCTGAGCTCCATTGTGCTTGTGTTCCATGGGAACCCCCATTTCATCATTCAGAAATTTGGATAAGAGGGATCAAGGTAAGGAGAAAGAGAAGGAAAGAACAAGCACCCTGCCTGCAGCTCCTTGGTTTGTCATAAACAATACTATTCATACATTTTTCTAAATCAGTATTTTTTAACACTTTCAGATGCTGAATACTTCAAGAAAAATATATAATCACTATTATATATAGTAACAGAGTGCATGTTCTCTGTGGCACTTGACTTGCTAAGGTTCTGGGGAAACTGGAACAGAATGATATCATGAGCCCAACACACACTCTTATAGCTTGTAGCAGTTAAGTCACAAATTTCATATTCTCTCCTTCCATTTTGGACCAGGCTCTGGGATACACACATTCAAATGAAATGGCTCCTAGATTGGTCCCAGCACATGTTCTTATGGAGGCACATCATGATATCAAATCAGCATATGGACAAGGACAGATATGGAGGTGTTGATTGCACAGCTGCTGAAAGCATCAGCCCCAAAGCCAAGATATGTACATAAAAGCAACTGACATCCCTGCCTGAGTCTTCACACCTGGCCTTTCAAGACAAACAGGTCATGTTGGGCTGGAATACTGATGCTCTGACCAGGGCTACAGCATGGCCTCTGCAAAAGGCAGGATGTTAATCTTCAGGTAAAAGTGCTGTTTGAGGGGGTGGGGTAGGTGTTGGTAGTTCAGTATGGGAGCTGTGCAAAGTGATGCTGAAGCAGCTCATCAGCTGAAGGTCTCTGCCTGGCTTCCACAAAGATCCGCTTCAGAAAGTCCCGGCAAGTTTCTGATATGTGGGAAGGCAGCTGGGGGTTAGTTGGCTGTGTAGCAATCTTGAAAATGGCAGCCATGGCTTCATACTCTGCCCAGGGCGGTTTCTCCGTTAGCATCTCAACGACAGTACAAGCAAGGCTCCTGCAAGGGCAGAATACAGATGGGAAAATTCAGGTATAGATTTGTGCAAAAGTTACATTGTAGACATGTTCACAGATTCATCAGTTTTTTTCCCAAGTGAGAATATAATACTATTTTTTAAAAAAAATCAACACATGACTTTTGGTAAATGATGGTCACTTTCCAGTGACACCACTTCTGTGTCACACAGATAAATGACCAATGTACCAAACTCTAGAGAGGAATCAATCTGTGCAAATAAAAACCATCAGAGAGTCCTCTGGCAAGTTGAAGTCATAATGGATGAATTTTGCCATAAATGTTGTGGATCATTAAGATGATGAATTTGGACACCTGACAAGATGGGTTTTGGTCCATAAAAACTTGTATCACTATCATTTTGTCAGTCGTTGAGTAGCCAAGTTAAATATGCTTTAATAATATGATGGAAAGATGAAATTATTCAGTCACTTAACAATGAATTATTTATACCTAAATAATTTTGAAATCCCAACAGTTAAATTAAATACTCATAAAAAACACCCATAAACTTACACCTCAGCCACCCGACCACTACATGATTTTAAAACTGAATACTTCCTCATAAACTAGAGTTCCACGATCTAGTACCCACATAGACTGAATGTGTAGCTATTTAGAGGGAAAAATACAAATGCATCTGGGAAGTCTGGTTTCCCCAGGTTAATCTGCTTCAGCCAACCACACAGAAGTCAGCAGAAAGAGGTAAGGGAAATCAGCCTTGTTTGCAGCTGGTCATTTGGCTCCAAGATAAGCTGGGGGGAAAGGGCCTCACCTTTTCTAAAAATGAACTTGGCACATTTAGTTAGAAGCTTAAAAATGTATCAACCTCAAGGCACCCAAATCCTGGCCAATACTACCCATCATGCAAGGGGCAACTTCTCACCAGATATCAGCCTTTCTTCCATAGCCCTCCCCACTGATCACTTCTGGACTCATCCAGTAGGGCGTGCCAGTGACAGAACGGATGCCAGTCCCAGACATGCAGATTGTCTGTAGCCGCTTGCTGGCTCCAAAGTCCCCAAGCTTCACATTGCCTGCAGAATCCCGAAGAATATTGGCTCCTGAGATGGGGGTGGGTAAGAAAAATAAAACAAAAAGAAACAGAAACATGCTTACTACTCTTAATTTCAGGTGTATAACTTGCAGACCTTTCATTTGGAGTTCAGTATCCATCCTTTGTTATCACTTTACTTTTAGTCATGTCACTGTTCCTAGCCCAGTTTGAAACATTTCATCCAAACTTTATGAATGTACTTTCTTTCCTTACTACCCATTACAACAGGGAAGAAAAGACAGGAAAATACTAGGGTTGAGAAGAGCTTGAATTAGGGATCAGTGTGTGATTAGTAACTTTGCTTACCTAACTCAAGGGTGAATGTATATTTTAAAAATTCTTCATTGACATACAGTAAGTTACTCAACAGTGCTGTACAGCTTGTATCACAGCAGTCAAAAATAGAAGGCAAGGAAGAGTATAGAAAGTTGAAAGAAGGTAAAAATGGAAGGAAGAGAATCTAAATGTGTGTAAGGAAGCAGGCACAGAAGGGACAAGAAGCCCTTAAACATGGCCTTGCTTTCAAACGCTTTTAGTGTTCCTGACTCACTTTATAAGAAATGTATAGAAGAACAATAACTCACACAAGTTCAAACAAATTACGTAAACTACACATACAGGCACAGGTTTTCTTTTCAAGCCAACACTTTTTCATAGAACTATTGCTATTCATCAGTGTAAAATAGTTTAAGCCAAAGTTCATTCCAGGATGTTAGCAAAACAATATGTCACATTAAGCAGACCTCAGAAAGGTCCGCTCCCTTTGTTTCACAAAGAAAGCATCTGTAAGGTCAGCTAGTCTAGCCTGTAAGAGAACATTCCCTGATGCTTAAATATGTCCTCCAGAGCTGTTTGTTTAAGATAACCCTTTTCATAGCTGCTTATTGTAACAGAATAACTATTATTTATTTATTTTATTTATATTAGTATATATTTCTGTGGGCATTTCTACCTTTATGCTCCCCTTCCAAGTCTGTTCATGAAAACTTTAACTTTCACTAAAAAGGTACAAATCCTCCAGTCAGTCTTGCGGCCTTCTTTGTACTTAGCCATTGCTGCTCATTTTCTATTCTCTTTGCCATCTTTAAACAGCAAGCTGGTGGGCTTAGTTTTTCTAACTTTTTTTAGCAGAAGTGAGGCCAAGCGACTGCATAATCCCAATGATACCTTTCCTAAGACATTAATAACTGAGGATATGTGTGTGTGTATTGCAATTTCAACAGCAATAAATAAATAAAATGAAAGTAAAAAATAAAAATAAATAAAAACTCCTAATAGGAAAAGAGAAGTAGGTTAACAGTTATTCAGTTACTGGGACAGCAAGTGATGAAACTGAAATGCACGGCACAACAACAATAACTATGGAGTGCTATTCTAGATCCTTGCAAAGAAATCCCTCATTAGTCGCTTGATTTCCTTTTGTAGCTTTAGAATGCATAGTATGGTTTGCTGCAGCAACTACTGAAGCTTGCCTGAGTGCACCCTAAAAATTCTTCATAATCAACCTTCATCTCCTTTTGCAGATCTGGCATGCATAGCACAGCAGCATCAAAAAAACAACTACTACACAATGCAAATCTGGATGCACCTAAGCTTTGGTAATGGACAGCTCTTTCTGCAGAGCATATCGGTGCACAAGCGTACAAAAAAAATTCTCCATCTGTTCTTCTTACCCTTTATATCCCTATGTACAATCATGTTGCTGTGAAGATAACAAACTCCCTCCAAAATCTGTCGTGTGTACTTCCGGGTGACATTTTCTGTCAGTGCACCATAAGCTTTAAGCTGGTCTTTGACAGAGCCCTGCAAAGGAAAAGGATGGAAGGTATTCAAGGATACATCATTAAAAAGTAAATGAAGCTGCATTCCACTGTTGGCAGAAGTAGATGACAAACGCTCTCTAGAGGACCAGGTCAGTTCTTACCCCTGGCATGTACTCCATGAAAATGCTTAGGGTCTTCTCTGCTCGATCCCTCAAGCATCCATAATACTGGACAATGCGCTCATGCTGAAGATTCTTCAATAGCTGAATTTCACATTCCAAAGCACTCACTTCCTGCAGCCATGGAAAAAGACTGTTAGTTTACCTTGGAGAAGATACAGAATGTTAATTTTTGCACAATGGAAGAAAGAAACCTGGGCTCAGTCTAAACATAGTAATGTTCTCCATTTGATAAACTATGCCAGGTTGTCTTTTTTACCCATGCATTCACTACTTCCTCCTTCCCGTTGTGCACATGGTCTTTGATCTAGAATTTGTTATGGGTTATGAATCAAGAAACTGTGATTTAAGTGCTCCTTACAGACTATGGCCTTCACTGAGTACATGATGTGAAGTACCATGCTATATATGTAGAAGTGACATGTTTTTAGCAAAAACTTGTCAAAAGTTATGAATACATCTTGCATAAGGCATTAAGTTGTTCCCTTGGCAACTTCAATCTGAATATTTCTGTTTGGGTTGCAACCCACTTAAAGATGTTAAACAATACAGTTTAGTAGATTCATCTATAGATTACATCTATTTTTCTGTAACTACAGTATATCAGCAGCAAAAACAATTTATTTGTTTCTTGATGATGCATATGTCTCATAGCATCTTGTGTGTGTGTATGAGCATGAGAGAGCATGCCTCTTCTATTATGATGCCATCTGGAATTTTTTCATAGGTCACTTCCATTAACATCAAAAACTGCTACCTGATGCTCTGTGGCAGTCTTTTATCAAGCAAGTACTAAAACTAATCTAACAAATTAAAGGATTATAAATGTGGCAGCCCTGTGTTTATAAAACAAATTCCAAGAAATCCTACTTTATGTAGGATAATGGCTACACCCACAGAGTACATTAGGTTGTGAATAATGATGAATCAGCAATGTGCTGGTGCACACAGAGTGCCTTGCTCCTACTTCACTATTATTTTGACTTTTCTATGGGGACAAGGAAGAAACCTATGGATGAATGTGAATACATTTGAACAACCCCTGGTCAACAACTCTGTTGGCTGATCCTTCCATCCCAGAAGCAGCTGCATAGAGCTATTCACTGTATGAACACCACCTTTCTTTACTGCCCTAAGCCAGCATCAGTTTATCATGTCCAAACAGGAATTCATAAGCCAACAACAAACCATGATTTAAAGGTGGCTGACTATCAAAATTTCTTTAGGCACACCACAACTACCGGTTCAGATATCATCTGTTTCTCTGAATGATAAGAAGGAGTGCAGTGAGAATGAATGGGTTGCATGCATTGTCATTCCAACATGGTATGCAGACATGACCGATAAACTGGTTTGCACGAAATACTGAACAATGCAGTTCAGTTTAACTGCATTTTTTAGAACATCCAGAATCAAAGGAACTCACTAATAATGTTTTATTTAGGGATGATAAACTGATTTGAAGTAATTACTTGACAAACTTAGTACTAGTGGTGGTTTGCTATTATGTCTAAACTGAGTATTCCAATTAATCTAAGCTTGCTGTATGTTCTGTTTTGCCACTTGCCTCACTTCAGAGATATGAGTAAATAGCAGTTTTTAACAAAACAACTCTGTTGCTTTCTTCTACTTTGTTCTCTGCTCTCAGTCAGAAAACACTCCTTATCCTGTCCACCTCCCAGCTGTCATTTCTTCCACAATTAAGTTGTTCAGTTCCACAGCAAACGCCATCTAAATAAATAATTTCAAAAAGGTTCTTGAAAGGTACAAATGTTTAATTACCCTTAGCAAAGCTGCAAAGCCAACACCAAAGCATAGTTTACAGCATTTCAGAGTGCAGTATGGCAGATACATACATTTACATACTTTGCACTGTCTACATCCCTCCTAGTCTCAAAAAGGATCCCCCTCTACCAATATTCTTTCCACTTTTAGCCACAGGAGATCTACAAATGTGAATGCTGTCTCCTTCATAACTTATGGACCAGAAAATGGCTCCAGGGAGAAAACTACATACAGAAAAGGGTGGTTCAACAATTTGGACAACAATCTGGTATACCTGTCCTGTTGTTCATGTAAGAAATATAGTGGTGCCTCGACTTAAGAATGCCCCTACCTACGAACATTTTGACTTACAAACAGCTCCGGTCTCAAAATTTTGCTTCGACTTGTGAACAGAAAAAAAAACACGGGGGAAGTGGGGGATTTGAACTTTCAGTTAACCGTTGGCCAGCGAAGAGGCTGCTTATTTGCTACCTCACTCACCCTGGCAGTTAGAGAGTGTGGATATGGAGAGAGACTTCAGACTGCCTGGTACTGTACTGTATGTACTGTTTTTTTTTTGGGGGGGGGGCTTTTAAATTTTTTTTAAATTTTGGATGTTTGACTTTTGTAAAACAGAGAGACTGCCTCTTCTGGGTGAGTACACTGCATTTACTGTACAGGGGTTTTGCAGCTTGGGTTTGGGCTAGGTGAGGGGTTATGTTTCTGTGCTCTGATGGTCTTGCAGACCCTTTCTGCAAGGGTCTGTGCTGGCTGTTGTGCTCTAAAATGAAGTTTAGACTCAAGTCTCTCTCCCCACCCCAACATTGTTTTTTTTTCCTCTCTCTCTGCTCCCCAGGTGCTTGGTTTGGTTTAAAATGTCTTTTGTTTAAAAGGGGCTTGGTTTAGTTTGAAAGGTGTTTGGTTTAAAATGTGTGGGTTTAGCATGTGTGGGTTTAAAATGTGTTTCAGACTCCCACCTCTCCCCCTTCCCCAATTGTCTTCTCTCTCGCTCTCTTCTCTCTTTTTGTGCTTAACAGCACAAGTTGTTGTCAGAGGGGTCTGTGTGCCCCAGTGATGACCTTCTTTCTTTCCCCTTTTCCCCATTGTTCCCTCCCTCCTTTCCTGCTCTTTTTTTAACCCAAATCATTTTAGGTTAAAAAAAATATATCTCCCCCTAGTGGTAGAGGACGGATTAACCGGTTTTACATTAGTTCCTATGGGAATTAATGCTTTGACTTACAACCGGCGCCTCTACATACAAACAAAAAACATCAGGAACGGATTAATTGGGTTTCAATGGGAAATGCTGATTCGACGTAAGAACATTTTGACTTGCGAACATCTTCTGGGATGGATTAAGTTAGTAAGTGGAAGCACCACTGTAACACAAGGAAAAGGGGAAGAAGAAACAGACCGGAATGTGGTTCCATATAGTAGCAGAAATAAAGGAGAATAATACACAGATTTAGCAATCCTAGAAAGAGGAATAAACAAATCATATTCCCTAAAAAAAGAGTCAGGTGACCCAACTGTGGAAAATATGGAGGGAAACATGTAAAATTCTAGCTACACAGAACTGCTAGAATAAGGATTGGGCTCTTGGAGGAGGAACCAGAGGGAGATATACAGAAGCATTTTGAGGACCACTGAGCTTTAGTCACATGAGTACCTTGCTTGTTTCAGGACTGTCTGGGTCAAACTGGACTTGCTTAGCTGCAAGTTCTCTGCCTGTATCAACATCGTAGCACAAGTATACACAGCCAAAGGCACCCTGTCCAAGGAGTTTCCCTCGTCGCCAGTTGACCGGAGCACTTGGAGCTGTAAGATATAGTATCATTTTACATTTATAAAGGTATCTTCAAAACAATGCCCCCCTACATCTGCCATCATTTATAACACATCATATAAACTGTCCTAATCAGCATATTTATGAAAGAGTAATTTAATCTTATTAAATTAATCTTACTTTAAGAGACAAAATGTTGTTGTGCAGTTATGCAAAGGGACTAACGTTTAGCAGGAAATTGCCACAAATAAAGAAATTTCCATGGGGATTTCCTGTTGCACATTATGTTCCCTGACTCAATGTCCAGAAGATAATACCTATGGAGATTTCTCATACAGATGGAAGTACTAACTATGCTCAGAAATGCATCTTGAATCTGAGCTCTATACATTTATAATATACATGCAAATCATCTTTCTTTAATACTATAGATTAGACATGGGAGCTTCATATTTGTATCCCAAGCTTGGCATCACAGGTGCCATGGCAGTCCATTCCCGCCTGCCAGAACCACCCCGGTCCACTCATCAGGCTCCTCGCAGTGCATGTGCATGGTGGTGATGACATTGTGCCAATCACAGATGTAGTCCCGCTGGCACTGCCCCACTTCTCTCCTTAGTAAACACCTCAGTGGCTCAGTGGGGAGACTCTACTTCCCACCTCCTCACTAGAGCAGTTGGCTGTGGGAAAAGGCAGGAAGGGCTGATGGGGATGCCTGCTGCGAGGAGCCCACTGAGCAGACCAGGCTGGTTCTAGGGGAATCAGAAAACTGCCCCTTGTGGCACATGTGGTGTCAAGCTCCATATTGTACTCCCTGGGATACAAATACGAAGCTCCCATGTCGACTATACTGTAGATTGTTTTACGTTCCGGTTAAAGAGAGATAGTTTACACATTTCTTCCAAATGCCTCTTAATTCCCAATTTTGCAGCTTTAAAGACAGTCATCAGAAAAAAATTCCATCCTCCAAAATTCTATTTCCCCCCTGCCCTTTTTCCATTTCTACAGTAGACTGACTGCTTTATTTATTTATTTAATACCCTGCCCATCTGGTCTTCCCACCACTCTGGGCGGCTGAAGTTTATCCTATCTATTAAAAGGCTATGCAATGCTAATGAACACCAAAAGATCCATTGTGTAGTAATGTTACAGGGCAAGTAAATGAGTGCTTCTTTTTGTCAACTTTAAATACAGTGAAATGTCACTGTGAGTTCTGCTGTTTCCTCTCCCATATCTGGAGCTGCCCACTTACATTTGGTTGGGATATTTCTCTCCTGCACCGTGAGGGTATTCTCACTGTCAGCACTCCGAAGGCGGCCACGGGAATCCACATACTGAACTGTCAAGCCCAGGTTCTCCCCATTCGTGCTCAAGGAGCGGCTTGATGGCACAAGTGTGAAGAGGTTCCCCTGGTGTCGGCGAATGCGTGGAAAAGTCCTCCGGCCTGTAAAATTTGCAAGTGTCAGGAAAAGTTAGGCTTGTATATAAAACTGTCATCACACTTCAAAATACAATAGAAAAAAGTAAGTGTGTGTGTGTGTGTGTGTGTGTGTGTGTGTGCGTGTGTAACAAAAAGCTATGCAGAAATAAATTTAGTCTTTTATTCAGCAAAAATAAATACAGACAAGCCTATATACTGACAAACTGTTATACCGTGGAGACACACAAAATCAGAGTACATGGAAAAACACAATAAATAAAAAAAATTATACATTATTAATCCAACTGCTTAATACATTAGGAGCATAAACATTTTTAGAGACAGTAACATTCATCTTCAGAACACATATGTATGAAATTCTATGATCCTCTATCCCATGAATCTCACATTTATCTTGAGCCATTTTCACTGCAGGAAACGGGAGAGTGGAAAAGTAGTATTTCCAATTCATACAACCTTCATCTGTCTCCTTCAAGTTAGCATGAAAGGGAGAGGTAACAGATGTCTCCCTCAGGAGAGATGTGAGATAGCAGCTTTACCAAAAATAGGACCCCTTCTTCAGCATGGGCATACTCACCATCATTATAATCTTTGTGCTGCATGGAGACATGGTAACGCCGAGGGTAAGTGCCGCCTTTCTCTGCTTTGTCATAGATATGATTTATTTGATTTTCACGATCTAGAATGGAGGCAAAGAGGAAAAACAAATTATTTTACAAAATTTGCACATATGGTGCTGCTTTCATACTAACACTTTCCATTGGTGTGGGTTCTGGGAGTGAGGTTCTGCCCTTCTAGCAATTAAAAGGAGTATTTCAGTTTCAGTGAAGCACCCTGTAAATAGTTTCTGCACAGAGAAGAAAACATATGTGCACATTTCCCGAACATCATGTTTCTCTCCATGCCAGGCAGCTTTTAACATGGCAGAAGCAAGGGAATCAGAAAGGCAGAAGTAACCTAGCACCTCACCAGCATCTTCCATGTTGTACTAGTTGTAAGGCAGCCAACTGACAGAGATATTACATGCATATAAGACAGATACAATTCTAACACATTTGAAAAGAACTTTCTTAATCCTGAACAAATACAAAGAACATACAGCATACATACGGAGAAATATTAAGGAAGGAGGTTCCTTATTTCTCACATATTGCAATAACCATCAGAGGAGATATGTGACATACCTGAGAAGTCCTGCCTATTGTCTGGGAAACTCTGAGCACGGGACATGCAGGATTTTCGGAAAGAGAGGCTATGTGGAGAGAAAGAAGAGTGGAAGTGGGGAACAATTCAGTTCTGCAGTTATGAACTGAACACAGGAATGGACCAAAAGAAAAATAACCACCCACTTCACCTTCCAGCTTAGAAATGTTTGGCAAACTCACATCTTAAATAAATGACACTTTGTCACGGTGGTATACCAGATAAATGCTAACAAATCATGTTTTCCTGTCCAAAGACAAGAGATAAAATGCACTCCAAAGGTCTATAATTTTCCAAAATGCCAGAAGCAGACAACCCTTTCTCTGTAACTGTAAAAAGACCACTTAATAAAAACTACTTCTATATTCTGAAGTTGAAATTCTGAGAATCTAACAATTGGATGAGAGTGAGGATAAAGAGTTCCTAACCAGAATGGTTCAGTTATTCTCATCAGCTTCATAATCTTTTAACTATTGCAAGAATAGCTATTCTATTGAAGCACTGAAAAGGTGCAGCAAGACATTGCTATTGTGCTGAGGATTTGCTCATGGGCTTCCCACAGGATCTTGTTAGCTACTATAGGAGAAAGGAATGCTGAAGGATACTGGCCTTCAGTTTGGTCCAGCATGGCTCAACATTTTAATGTTCTGTAGTTTTATTTTCAAGTTGAAGGTGTGTTGTGACAGCATGAGCCTGTGGCAGCCCCTTCTTATCTGCCTATACTGCTATGCCCCAATTTATTTCTCTTCTCTGGAACCAGTCTGGAATTTCTAAAGGAAAGAAGGCTATTCCAACAAAGCATAGGTTTGTCTGTTTTCTACACTGTATTAATGACTGGTTGGAATCCAACAGCTTCCCTTAGGTCGTGATTAAAACTCAACACAGTCACACTTTATTTTCAAGGCTTGATTATAACATGAACATTGTTAGGTTGGTTGACTATCAAGCATTCAGTTTCTGTTACAAGTGCATCTTTTCTAACCTTCTCTGAACTTTGTTAACAGCTTCCTTCTCCCTCCTTCTTCTCCTTTCCTTTCCCTCTTTTCTTCCTCTAATGATCACTTCACCCACTGAACCCTCACACAGCATTCTGAGGTTTGTGATGGGCTGCAACTAAGAGAGAGTGGAGGCCAGTGCTGTCTATCAAGGGAGATTTCTTCAACAGGCAGCGGGCATGGGAAAATAAAATTCACTTAACAGATTTCTTTTACCAGTTTCTTTGTAGCAGTTAAGACTGCAAGGCAATGCAAAATGCTTAGTGTACAGTGAAGCATATTAGTACCTTCACTTCTCATTACAGTGACTTTTAAAATATATTTTCCACTCCAGTGAAGCCAAGTTTTACATGAGAATCTACATGAGAAACAGTCATATCAGAGACAGTCTCACTTTCCCCATCTATATTATTGTCTATATTTTTCACTCGTATCAATATTAACCTTAAGTGTTGCAGCTAATCCAGAACCAACTTCTTGACTTTTGGCTCCAGTTATCTACTGCTGCTCAGTATTAACTTTGGAAAAAGATTTCTGTAAGAATCTGATGAATCATTGACACATTAATCATCCACAATTTCCAGACCTGAGCATGCTTTTAAGGCAACCCCAAATAAATCAGCTCACACAGGCATTCTATATAGTAAAGATGGGCTCACACAAATAGAACAAGTCAAATAAAGCATAAAAAAAACAAACACACATAAACCAATCACAAACCCAGCTGCACTTCAGTCTCTAGAACATATATGATATAGTGATGAGATATTCAATTCAAACCCCACTAAAATCCATACCTGTCTCCAGACTGGCTCAAGGACTGACAGCTACCAGATACTGAGTTTTCAGCACTGCTTAAAGGATCTAGCATCTACAAAAAAAGCCAAAGAAAATGAATCCAGTATAAAGATAGTATGACAAAAAGATTTTATGTTAGTTTTGCTAGAGTTGGCAAAGCTAGTGCAGGTTTAAATCACAGTCAGAGTCTACGCACCTTAAGTATTCCCCAGCATCTGAAGCCTTATGCCTGCTCAACTGGCGGTAGTTTTATTAATTGTTTTAGTTGCCCAGTAAGCAGGCAGGAACAAAAGAAGATACCAATGGCAGAAGCAATAATAGAGCAAAACAGCCCCCTCATAACTACTCATTTAAACTTCTTAGGTAGGGAGAAGATTTTTGCAGTCTACTTTATGTTCTACAAAACAGCTCCCTCTATGTAGATATGAGAGCAAGTATGTAATGGACTATAGTCTGTTGGACTATAATTCAGGACACCTGGGTTGAAATCCTTGCTTGGTTGTGGAAACTCATTCAAGGTGCTCTGGTAAAAACTACTTGTTTAACATCACACACACCTTGAAAACTACTTGGGTTGTTCTAAGATGCATGCAACATGACTGCACATAACACACACTATGTACACACACACACAAACATCTAAAGAGACTCAAGTGTGCAGGATAATGTCCTGTCAAAGAGGATGGGATGGATTATATAGCTCCAGGACAGAGTTTAGGTTCTGCATGCAAAAAGTCCTAGCTTCACTCTCCAGCATCTCCAGGTATGGGTGGGGAAAGCCACTGCTGAAAGCCTTGGAGAACTACTGCTGTTCAGTGCAGACTGTAAAACAAGAGGGAACTAAACAAGCCAACACCGTGTCAGGCAGTCTGCTATATGACACTCCAGGATGAAAAATACAGTTCAAGAGATTAGGAAGAGACAAAACTTACACACTGGTCACTGGTCTCTGGGATGAATTCCCCTTCACTGTTGATGCTGGTGTACGATCCCTGACGAGCAATTCTCTGCTGCCTCTCTGGGACGTAACCTGGAGGTGGTGAACTTCGGCCTGTATTCTGAGAATCTGAGGATTTAAAAATGGCAAACAAAGTCAATGACAGCTGAAAAGAAAAGGGATAGTTGTGTACTTTCCTGTACTCTGGAAACAGACACATTACAACATTAATATGCATGCACTATAAAACAAAAGGAACATGGTGGCTGCAGCCAAGCCTTGTAAACAGATAATAATACAAGGGAAATGTGTGCACAGACATTAGAACTGTGGCCTGATCAAAGGCCAACATTAAAGTACTTGAATTTGCTTTAATAACTACTCACAGGTAGTTTCACAGGTATTAAGAGAGATATTTTAAAATATGTGTCTTATTCCTAAATTTGCTTGCTGCTTATCTGAAAAAGAACTACAGACTACTGATCTGAAATTCCATATTAGGGAAAACTGTCTCAAGTGTAAAATTCACATCTAAGCAATCTCAAGAGTGTTGGCCTAAGTGAATTTCCTTGTTCCACACTTCACACAATGGAAGATGGATTGCACAATATCCAAACCATAAATATTAATGTCTTCTAAATGGTAAAAAGGTAGCAAGTTGCCATTTTCAGGTGCCAAGAACATAAAAAAAAATTATATTTTATTTCATTAGTTACGTTTCTACCTCACTTTTCCTCCGGTGAGCCAGAATGCCATAAAGAGCTCAGCTTTTCTCAACTTTACTCTCACACCAGTTCTTTGAGGTGGGTAAAGCTCAGAAAGAATGACCAGATCAGACCAGGCAGTCAGTAATGCAACTTACTAGGAACTGAAACTGGAACTCCAAAACTCAAGTTCAGCATTCTAACCACTAAGTTGGTCACAGCAATTCTAGATTCCCTTCCACCTTTCCTTCTTCTCTGTGTGCTGTGAAGAATGGGATGAGGAAACAATATAGGCACCAATGGCAGCTTACTTCCCATATCAATAACCACACCTTTATTCAAAGTAGGGGCAATGAGTTAAAGCCTTCTTCACCCATGTTATAATTCCAATGTCCACCCTTCCTTCCCAGTTAATAAAAACATCTCCAAATGCATAAGAACCAATTATGTTATTAACATTGCATTTGACGCGGAGCCAGCAGAGCGCTGGGAGGCTTCGGACCGGTAAGTCCTTTTAAAAAAAAATTTCTGTGTGGGTTTTGGAGGGTGGGTTTGGACTGGGGGGGGGTTATGTCTGTGGTTTGTGTGTGTGTTTTTTTGCGGCATTTTTGCCGCGGGCGCTTCGGAGTGGCCGCAGGGGAGGGCTCCCCCGCCGCCATTCCGAAGCGCTTCGGCCGGCTGTGTGAAAATGGGTGCTTTGGTGCTCCCAAAGGCCCCATTTTCACTTAGCTGATCGGTGGTTCTAAAATGGCCGCCGCAACCATTTTCGCGCACTGCCCTTGCTTACCGAGGCAGCGAAAATGGCCGCCCCTATGGAGGAGCTTTGCTGAACGGTGAGTTTTTGCCCCATAAGAACGCATTAAACCGGGTTTAATGCGTTCCTATGGGGTTTTATGTTCCGTTTAGCGATGTTTCCAGATAGCGACGATTAATCCGGAACAGATTAATGTCGCTATGCGGGGCACCAATGTAATTGTTAGGGGAAATAACCCTCAACACACTCTGAGTTATACTTTTCCTTTCTAATTCCAGAGGATAACCCTGATACAATGAATAAATGGTGCAAGTGATGCAGAGCACAGCATTATTTTTTTGTGGCATGTGCTCAATTTTTACTTGTTTTCATATTCTCAGTCTCTCTCCTCTTTCCACTGAATTCCCTGCCTCTACCAAGAGAAACCATAGAGACTGTAGGCTATAGCCCAAAGAGACTGGCAGGATTGGGTTTTATTTACAGAGTAGAATTTACCTGCCAAAATATAGTTGCTAGCCTGTTAATACTCACTGATGGACAGGTGACGGCTTCTGCTTTCAGGGGGCTGGTAGGCAGCATTCACATCTCCCATAGACTGGGAAGTTTTGATTCTGACTTGCTTTTGCATTCCAGAATGGGATGATGAACTGGTGTGCTGAAAACAAACATACACACACAGAGACCAGTAAGAGTTAGGTAATTTAGGTAAAGGGATCTACTTCTAATAAGGTTAAAAACAATACCAGTTAGCCTAGAGGAAAAATAACAAGATAGCAGTATTGCATCAAACTGTAATTAAAGCCTTGACTGAAGGACAACTACCACTTGTTCTAGGGATTTATTCAGACAATATGGTGGTCAATGCAACAGGTTGGTTCTCAGTTGCACAGAAGCCATGGTCTGGGATTCCATGGGGGTCTTGAACTAGGAGGTATAGCCTGAAGCAGTGACTGCTAAGAGGAAGGTTGGAAATTTATATGACGGAAACTGTGCATACCTCACATTTGAATTTACAATATGGAAACAGAACCTAGCACCTACCACAGAATTTGATATCCTGTTATGGGTGTAAACATTAGAAAGAGTATGTTTCTCACGAGGAGTGCTTACCAGCTACAATTATCACTTGCTTGGTGCAAATTTCTGTGGCCCCTCTCCAGGTCTAATTTGAGAATTAAGTAGAGGCTTGAATCTGACTACACAGAGAGCTTCATAGGTACTTTGAAGCCATGAGTCCTGTCTGCTTTGAAATGCATTCAAAGCTCATCTCAGATCTGTCCCAAAATGGGGAAATACTAGTGTAGATGGCAAACCTTGTTCATGCGCTTTTGTTTCTAGCCAACACAACAGCAAAGAAAATCTCCACTGTGACATGGATGGCCCGTAGTCCAAACAGGGAGGTGCCTTACCCTCAGACTTTGGGGACAGATATTCTCAATGACTGGACCACTGACTACATATGATTCCTAGTGCTTAAAGATTAGCACCTCAGGTTCTTTTTGCAACTATTGACAGTTATGTACTCAAATGTTAATTTGTATAAACATTCTTGAGTTTCCACTGTGAGCTTCCATGAGTGAAGATATTTCATAGCAGGATCTGAACATGTAGATCCAACTGTAACTGAATTCTATTGTGAAAAAAATTTCAATAAGTGCAGTGCTATACAAGGAACACTCAAAAACATGTCTATTTGTTTCATTTATACCTTACTTTTCTCCCAGCAGGGAACCAAAGGCATCTCGCAGTAGAATTAACAGTAAAATTAAAAAACAATTATTAGAACTGTTATATTAAAATGACATACAACTCGAAACTATTCAGAAACACCTCACCTTAAAGAGTAACAATAAAACAAAAGAAAAGTGTAATATATCAATTGGTGAGTTGCTGAAGACCTACCTACCTGAATAGCTACATGGTAAAGCAATGCAGTATAAAGCTTGGTAAGTTTAACGATTAGCCAAGAAGGCCCACCCTTCTGTGGTACTTCAGTTATGAAATATCTATCCCCATGGAGATGCAACAGGCCTTAATTACTACTACAACTAACACCATTTCAGCATAAGCTCCAATCCTTTTTGTTTGCCAAGGCATGTCAGCTGGAGGATTCTATTTTATCCTCTCTAATATCCTCTATGCTTTTCTCTTATAACATGCTTTCAGAGTTCCTATTGTTTTAATCATATTTTTCAGTTTCGCAGGTTGGAAGGGGTGATGGATAGATGTGTGTGTGTGGTGTGTGATGTGTGTGTGGTCTCTCTCTCTCTTTCTCCCTGAACTCTGATCTAGCCACCACTGTATTGCTGACTGAGTGTTAGTGCAAATATGAAACTGCAGAGCATGACTTCACTTTTACTTACATGGTTTCTATCTTGATTTAACAGTAATATTCGAAGACTTTTCACATTAGAGCTTCGGTCCAAAAGATCTATTGCTTTATCAAGGTCATCTTGACTTTTCAAAGGGATAGATAACTGCAATGCAAGAGCACAGATAACTAATTAGTCAAGGCACATTTCATTTTAAATCCTTCCTGGAAAAAAAAAAGAAATAAAAAAAATGAGAGAGCAAGGTACACTTACAAATTATCTTGCTACTTTATATAGTGTATATTTAGTTGGGAGTAACCCCACTGTATTCAATGTGTAAAAATATGCAGATCAGAATGAAAATATGCATAAAGTACTTTGAAATAAATATGTAAAAATAAATATGCATCCTTCAGGGTGAAAAAAGGCTATAGTACTCATTCTATACATCACAATATATTTCACTGTGTTTACTCAGCAAAATAATTAAAACTGCCTCAGAGGTTTTTAAGAGGTGACATGGGCTATATAATACTTACCACTTGTTCAGTATTTGAAATATTCAGAGTGCGCCTATATATTGTTAGTTGTAACACAAAAAAGATTTTACAACCGCGAAAAAAAAATTCTAGGTTGCTAGATTGCTTTCGGTGCTCTTGGATATCAGCTATGCAAGGCCACCTAGAGGGACTGGAGTAGGTGTGATGTTGGGTCTAGTTCCTTCCTCTACAAATACCCATCCATGTGTACAAAGCTGTATTCCACTGATTTTTACCTAGTGGAAATGATATGAAACTGGAAATGGAAAAAGGAACATACCGGTAACTATAAAGCTACACAAAGATCATTTTTGTAGTCAGAGAACCCATGAACCCTGTAGAACCTTAAAAGGGTTGCTTTCTGCTACCTTATCTTACTGCACATAGTACATTACAAAAAAAGAACCACTTAGTGCAGTCTGGCACCCCTCTCAGTTTGGCACATTGGGAACTGCCCAACTAGCCCACTCAAACACTGGCCCTGCTTACAATGCTGTAAAATAAGTAGGTCAGGTTGTTATCTCTTACTGCAGCACTGAGAAAATAACAAGCAAGAATCTAGTCCTCTCTGAGCTCTTAAAAGAAACCCAATAGACCTATTGATATTCTCAACCTACTAATTTCTCTGCTGATAATCTTTTATCAGATGTTCTCATCAAGAGCCATTCTTAATTTCAACAAGTACATTGATGTCATCAGATGCCCATCAGAAAAGATGTGTTTGTATGCCCCCAAGAACGTTTAGAGAGTATGTTTGCTGCAGGTTTATCCCCTAGCACCTTAGCAATTTTGGTTTTGTGAGGGAAATGAGTATCACATAGGATTGAGCTGCTGATGGTCATTACCTCATTATTCATGTAATGGAGATCCAGGACCTGACCAAATGCTGTTTTCACTTTCTGTTGTACATCTTCATAGTGGACAGGCCGACTAAAAGGAATAATTCTGGGGAGGAATAGTATGACCGTGAGTGTTCAGTATAAGTTTTATATATTTCATGCATGATCAACAGTTTGAATATTTTACACATGCTCAGCAGAGTTGATAAACAGTTGGCCTTTTTGTGATGGCAACCGCTCCTCCCAGAATCAGACTTCAAGCTAAGAAAGAACGGTGATCAAACCCTGCAGACTTTTCGAATGAGGTTTCCAGAGGAAAGCCTGGAGTTTTATTTCTTTATTCTCAACATATGTTCCTGCATATATTCGAAGAGGAAGCAAGAGAGATGAGGAGATTATATAGGAAAATGAAGTATTACTGTGCAGCCATCACAGACTACAACTAAGATTTTGGAAGAAAAATTATGACACTGTTCTCATTTAATTTATATATATATATGGGAAGGAGAAAAACACGGCATATAGGGCTATGTCTTTATTTAGAAATCCCATTTTTGGGATCTAAATAAAGAGCAACTTAAGAGCATTAAAAAAATAAGTGTGTATGTGTGTGCACGCGATTGCATGCGTGCGCAGGGAGTGAATTGTGAATGAGCAGACATATTCTAAGTGTTTCTTTGCAGCTTGAGCTTTCCATAATGTAAGAACAGGGAAACAAGATAATTAAAGCCCTATTGCATCAACGTTTTAAAAATACTTTCTTTGTTACTGTTGTTGTTGTTTTAGATAAATAGTGCACAGTAATGTTCTACTTACTGATGATAAAACAATTCATTTATAAATTGGAATTACAATGCTTTGGTACTGGGTGAATATATCATGGCTCACAGTATCACAGCAGCTCTTCATGAAAATCAAGCTGCACATTACACACAAATACATACACATGAAATGCCCTAAGATTTTTTTTAAATCATGATGTATTTTGGTAGTTTTAGGCAGATCATTCCTGGTTTAAATATTTGTGGCCAGATCTGGCAGCTCCGCTGAAATTAAACACATACAAATGTAGTTTGAAAGTAAGCCTACATAGCTGCATAATTCCTGCTTGCATACAATTGAGCTTTTCATTTCAGTGGACATATAAATATACAAAATACACCCTGGTGACCCCACAATACTACTGTATTTCAGTGGTATCTGCCTAACCAGGAAGAAGAGAAAAATGGCAGGGCTATTGAAACTAACATTTCCTCTCCATTTTAACTACAGTAGATGCCAGAACACTATGCTTGTTATACAGTGTATCCATTTAATCCTACTGGAATTCTGGAATCTTAATACTACCAGAAGCACCTGAGTACACTTACTTCTACCGGGGAATCACTTGGCTCATCGTTAAGGTGACAGTAGTATTTGTATGCCTGTATTCCAAAGTGAATGCTAAATAACTGATTCTTGTTTTTGCATTTCACTTACTTCCATGGAAACCACCACATTTAAAGATCTGCCTATAATGTAGCATGCATAATTGGGGAAAGTATCATATTTCATCTTTACTTTGTTTAATTTCATCTCCATCTGCCCAATTACGTTAATTGAAAAGGACCCTGGACCCTTTTCCCTGGAAGCTGGGCTGAGGGCGAAGGCCAGGTATGTTTGAATGGATGTTTTGCTGAGTTTTTTTTCTGGGCTTTCTTTTTATCTCCTGACCACATGGCCTGGGGGTGGGGCCTAGGGGTGGGACTTCCTGCTTTAAATTCTCAAATTTTGTATCTGGCCTTAATATGGTAAATAGGAAAGCCAATTAGATTTGCATAAACCTCTGAGTCAGGAAAGTTTTAAGGATCAGATCTTACTTTTGCACTATTAAAGAGCAGGCCGGGTAGGTGGGGCTCGTCAGCCATGGAAGGCAGACCATCTAGGAGAAGGAAAACTCCGATTTCAAACCTCCACTGCCTTGTGGCTATATCCACTCATGGAAAAGGCTTCAGGAGTTAACCTCGAGGCAAAATCCAGAGCTGGAGTCTCGAAGGCAGCATGTGTCGTTCTGCCAACTCCTGCGACATTGCTGGAACCAATTGTATTGGCTCTTGCCTTTCCATTGGATCATTTCAACAATGTGGAGAGGGGGGATCTGCTGCTTGGGTAACAGCCTATCCTCCATATTACCTTACCCGGGCTTCATGCTCTGGAGAGGACACTCCTCGATTCAGAGCATGTTACCATAGTCTCTTGAGACTGAAGGATGCCTATGCTATGCTAGGAAACAGGCCTATTCACCTTTAAAAATATCTGCTGTAAACCACTCATTGCACAGGAGGTAAGAGGGATGGCTTGTAGACAAAGGGCCTTTTTGGCAGCTGCCCCCAGACTATGGAATGCCCTCCCAACTGAGATTCGTCTGGTGCTGATGCTGATGACATTTCGGCACCAGGTCAAAACCTTTCTGTTCCAGAACATGTTTAATTGAAATAATATCAACCTTGGGTCCTGATGGCAATTTTTAGAGTATCTATTTGAATTGTATTTGAATTGTTTTATCTTTTTATTGTATTTTAATTGTATTTTATTCTTGTAAGCTGCCCAGAGGCTTTTTGTGTAGAGTGGGCGGTATATAAGTTAAATAAACAAATAAATAAATCCAATAAACAGGTAAATATTTATGCCAAACTTTCCGTAGGGAAACATGCCACTATGACTATAATCTAATAACTCTTCTGTGCAATTAAGCCCTGTTGAACTTAAACAAAACTTATTTTTGTGTAGTCATGCACAGGACCACATCTTATCAAAAGCAGCTTCAGTCCAGATCAAGTAGAAAGAAATTGTGTGAAATTTTGGGAAGCATGTGAAAAGAAGCAAACACTTACCGTCTTTCGCCATTATGTTCAAATTTTATCCTGATGTCATTCTGCCAAAGAAGATATTATTAATGCACTCACTGAATGCCTGAGAACCTTTTGTTCATTTTGCAGTGAAGTAATCAATCACCATAGCAAGTACACATATTTCACTGTAAGAGGAAACAAGCTACAGATTTCATTTCTTGCTTTTTTCTAACAAAAATAATATTTTATTCCTGCTACTGAATAATATAGTTAACCACACTCCTGAAACATGCTTAGTTTAGTCATGTCCGCAAAATGCCTTGCTTTTAATTCCTTTATTTTATCCGATTCTTTCTTCCAACATTTATTTGTTCAGAAAACTCACAGAGGCTTGTACAATAAAGTAACAAAGACTGTAAATAATTAGCACACTACAAATATAAAATGTTACTCTGGTGGGGATAACACTTATAAAGACAAAATTACAAAAAAAAAAGACAATGTCTGCATCTGGACTAATTTTTTCATCACATCTTTTTCATCACATCTTTAAGTGTGAATTTTTTTGAAAACGTTTAAAGATTCAATTTTCCCAAAAATTCAAATTTAATTTGAATGTATCTTTGTCTTGTAGCCAGTCAATCCAAATTTCAGGCTAGTATCTCAATGGTATCATACAAAACTTAAATTTCCTTGTTGACAGTGACAAGGATTTAAACTGACTTAGCCCTGAAAATACAAAGCTGCATTAGATTCAGAAGAATGAAAATTGCTAGAAGAAACACCAATAATTTAAAACATGCAGATGATATCATATTCCTGGAGAAACAGCAGTTACTTGATATGACTGCTGACTGCTGATAAAGGTGAAAGAAAAAAGTGCAAAAGGAGCATTAAAGCTGAACATTAGGAACACAAAAATGATGACTACAAAAGAATGATTTAACTTTCATTGAAACTGAAGAAACTGGAACCGTTAAACATAAATCTTGTTTGAGTCACCAATCAAAATGAAGACTTCAGCCAAAAAAAATAGGAGAGTGACACTTGGAATGAAAGTTATGAAGCAACTAGGAAAGACCCATAAATGTAAGGATGTGTTACTAGAGACAAAGCCAAAATCATCCAAATTACGGTATTCTATATACCATTACTATACATGAATGTGAAATCTGAACAATGAAGAAATGTGGTTACTATTGCTAGAAAGACAGAGCTGTTAATGCTATTTTAACTTTCTCTACAGATTCTTCCCAGCCACACTTCACTACATTCAATTCTCTCACACTGTTACACATACTCGTAAGACTGAGAATCTTGCATTTCATTCTAAATATTTAGTTGTACACTGAATATCTTTTCACCTTTAATTCACTACAAGCACACACAGAGTTCTCCACACCTCTGGAATCCTGACATTTGAACACCATGCTACCATGCTGGTTTTTTAAAGTACAGTGCTGCCTCGTATAACGAGTGCCCCATTTAACGACGAATTCGCATAGCGATGGCAAAAATGGCACCGCTTTTGTGATTGTATAACGAAGGTTCCTATGGGGAAAAATCGCTTCGCAATGTTTTCCCCAT